GGGACATGTGTTACCCTGGGGAGTATCTTACTAGTGGGGGTCATATGTTACCCTGGGGAGTATCTCACTAGTGGAGGGACATATGTTACCCTGGGAAGTATCTCACTAGTGGGGGGACATATGTTACCCTGGGAAGTATCTCACTAGGGGGGGACATATGTTACCCTGGGAAGTATCTCACTAGTGGAGGGACATATGTTACCCTGGGGAGTATCTCACTAGTGGGGGGACATATGTTACCCTGGGAAGTATCTCACTAGTGGGGGACATATGTTACCCTGGGAAGTATCTCACTAGTGGGGGACATATGTTACCCTGGGAAGTATCTCACTAGTGGGGGACATATGTTACCCTGGGGAGTATCTCACTAGTGGGGACATATGTTACCCTGGGAAGTTTCTCACTAGTAGGGGGACATATTTTACCCTGGGAAGTATCTCACTAGTAGGGGGACATATGTTACCCTGGGGAGTATCTTACTAGTGGGGGGACATATGTTACCCTGGGAAGTATCTCACTTATGGGGACATATGTTACCCTGGGAAGTATCTCACTAGTGGAGGGAGACATGTTACCTTGGGGAGTATCTTACTAGTGGGGAGACATGTGTTACCCTGGGAAGTATCTCTCTAGTGGAGGGAGACATGTTACTCAGGGTTCCGTGGAAGAAGTGGCCGCGTTATCCCTGCAAGACTTTGGTAGTGAGGTGTTGCTAATATCAGAAGTGTATCTTAGAAATTTCTTAAACAGACGGCTGTTTCTGTAAGTTTTCTTATAATCTAGTGTTAGTGGCTGCTAATGACTGAACAGATCTCTTTTCTTGGCTCTATGGTTGCAGACATAGAGATTGCAGAGTTCTCTGGTTGAAAACTTAGCTTTCATGAGAAATTGTATTACGGTGCCCTTTGGCCTTGTGGTTGAAGCTCTCGCTTCACACGGCGAGGGTCCAGGTTCGATCCCTGGCCGGGTAGAAACATTGGACGCGATTCTTTACACCGGTGGTTTATCTTCCCCATCAGTATAATGGATACCTGGGTGTTAGTGAATTGGTGTGGGTCGCATCCTGGGACAAAACTGACCTAATTTGCCCGAAATGCTCTGCATAACAAGAGGCTTTCTATATAGTACTATGTCATTGATGTCAGGTAGACCTGTATACCCTGTACATCTACTGGTAGAAATTAAGATATTATTATTATTATTATTTATTATTATTTTATTATTATTTTATTATTATTTTTATTATTATTATTTATTATTATTATTATTGATATGGCCTGCACACCTGGCAGTAATGCGATAACCAATTAGAAACCAGCTAAAAGACAGCAGAAAATAAATTGCTATATTTCCTTCACTGAAAATAAGCTGACAGTTGCAAATTATATAGCCTATGTACAGTGAGGCAAATCCAAGCATAAGACACTGTCAAACCGTGACCCAGTAGCGAAGGCAAGTCTGCCAAAGTTGTTTCACCAGTGTATCACATCGCTTCACAGCTTTGGCTGGCTTCCTTGTGATTGGTTGGTTGAACCAAGGTGCTGGTGTAACAACGGGCCCCCTGATCGTTAAACACTTATCATCTGGTTCGCCGGTCGGGAGGCAGCCTATATGGGTGTGTGACATACACCGAATAATATGTAACCTCCCTTACATCCACAAACTACTAAAAAGCAAAACGTTCACTCCGCAAAAAGGACAGTTCATTTCACAGGATAAGAGGGACAGTTTAAGTCAAGATGAGAGGAGGGGGAGGAGTGGAGAGAGAGAGGAGAGAGGAGAGAGAGGGGAGAGAGGAGAGAGAGAAGAGAGAGAGAGAGAGAGGGGAGAGAGAGGAGAGGGAGAGAGGAGAGAGAGGGGGAGGAGAGGGGAGAGAGAGGAGAGAAGAGAGAGAGAGAGAGAGAAAAGGGGAGAGGGAGGAGAGGGGAGAGAGAGAGGAGAGAGAGAGAGAGGAGAGAGGAGAGGAGAGAGAGAGAGAGGGGAGAGAGAGGAGAGAGGAGAGAGAAGAGGGGAGAAGAGAGAGAGGGGAGAGAGAGAGAGAAAAAGAGAAAAGAGAGAGAGAGAGGATGAGGAGAGAGAGAGAGAGAGAGAGAGAGAGAGAGACCTGTTCTCAGAACAAACCAGCAGGATCTCTGAATTGGTAAACACTCTCACACGTCACTCACTCAGCTACCCCCTTATCCCAGCCAGCAGGTGGGATTGGGCCTTATACAAGACCACAGACCTACATCCCTGCAGCTGCCTCAGTACCCTACCTCTCTCAAGGGCAGGCACCTTACATTCCCTACACACCCACCACCTCAAGCTGACCACTTCATCATGAGGAGCCAGTCTATCAGCATCCTGTCGGCCAACATTAGAGGTTTCATTACTAATGTTGGAGAGCTCACACATAGCTTTGTGAACACTCGACGTCCGACATGATAGCTGTTGTTTAAACATTTTTGGATGACAGGACTCCAGAAAATTTGCAAGAATTGCTGGCTACACCTCATGGATGAGAAGAGACAGGCAAGGGCAAGGATGGTGGTGTTGCTGTTTTGCTTCTCTAAAAGTGTTCATGCCCAGCACATAGATGTTGCCACCCCTACACATCTTGAAATGATGTTCTTCAAGCTCTGTATAAACACTAGTACCTCTGTACTAGAATGTGCAATGTACAGACCTCAGTGGAAACATGCAGACCCTATCAATTCCTAAGGGAAAAAATATTGACCCCCTTCTGCTACCCAACAAACTGTAAAATTTTTTAAAATTGGGGGTTTGACCTAAACCCGCACCTTATCAGACGGAACTTTGTTAAATTCCCTTGCGTTTTTGGGACTTGAGAAACTTTGTTGATTTCCCTATTTCATTTTTTCTGGCTCCCCCCTTGCCCCAGTAGGGGATTTGTTTGGCGAAGGATAGTCATTTGTCAACCCCTGGGTACTTTTGGTCTTTGGGAACCACAAGGCTGTTTTTACCCCCAATTAAGACCCCCAAACGGGAACGGGGTTGGGAGGAGTCCAAAAGCAAAACCCTGGTTTTGGGGAAAAGGGGTAATTGGCCAGCCCTTTGCTCTGAGCTCGCCCCCCACCGCCCGGGGAATGCTTTTCCCCGGGGCAGGTTGAAACCCAAAGTGAAAGCCTTCACTGGAACCCACCCTTAAATTTCTCCCAACAAAAACCCAAATTCCCTCACCGGCAATATGTGACAAAGCCTACAGATCCCCTTGGTTTGGCTTTCGTTTTTAGAGAGGCTGCTACTGCTAAGTACAAAGCAGGCGAAGGTATAAGAAAACATCCCAAACCCCCTTTAATAACGGGAAACTTGCACATGAAACCCTGTGGGCATAGGGGTTTGATGTTCAAAAGGGGGGCCATTGCTAAATGGGATTTGGGCCCACTAAAAAAAAAGTTGGGTTTAAGGTTTAGGGTAGGCTCCCAAAACGGGTTTGGCCCTGGTAAAGGAAGAAAAGGGTTATTGCCTGAGGGAACTTATTCCACCTCAAATTTCGACAGGTGGGACCCCCTTTTTATTTGGGAAGTCAAGAGGAAAGGGGGGACCTCTTTGCTAAAACATTTTTTGTACCAAAATGAAAAATTTTTCCTGATCCAGCAAGGGACCCCCCCTTGGCAAAGCTGCAAGAACTGTATCAAAAACTGTCAGGGGTGACAATTTAAGGCAGGAGGAGGTGGGATTTTCCCTTTTTAAATCCTTGACCAAGGGGAAAAGGATGGGCCCCCGAAAGTTGGGCCCCAAAATTGGGTTTAGAAAATGTGAAAAAACCCGGGAGCGCACCCCTAACTCGCATTTTTTCAGCCTGCCCCGTACAGTGCAAATGGCCCCCCCCCCAGGAAGAGGCCAAAAAGTAAATCCCTGTTCACCCCAAAAAAAAGAGAAAAGCAGAAACAGCAACTACAGACCAGTGTCACTCCCGTCAATTTACTGGGTTTAAAATTTGAGACCCAATTTTTCTCAAGACAAAAGAAGATTTTTTTGACTACCACTCATACTTTGTGATCGTCAATATGGTTCGGGAAGGTTACTTGTGTGATCTTGTTTTAAACCTCTTCCCTAAGTGGACCCGCACTGGATGAATCCAAAAATCAGTGTGTGGGGGGTAGCAAATGGACATTGCTCGGCCTTTCGCCCGGGGGGGCCCAGGGCCTCTTAGCCCAAAATTTTAAGCACTGGGAAAGGAGGCTCTTTTCGCTATGTCTCCTCCAGTGATTAAAACCCTTTAGGTAGATCTCTAAGGTAGTCCTAATGGAAGGGAAAAAAGCCAAACATTTCCCATTGGGGCAACGTTCCACAAGGAAGTTTTGCTGGGGCCATGTTTTGGAATGTCTAAATTTTAACGACCTTCCTTATTTCATCCCGAATCAATGCATATGCAACGAATGTACACTGAACCAATTTTTTTAAAATTTTCCCAAAAAGAAAAATGCCAGCTGCCCCTAAGCTCATCAATCACCAAATGAGAGCTATATCAGCTTGGGGAAATTGATGGCAAGTAAAAATTTGCCCCCCTGGGAAAAAGCAAAAGGTGATCCCTCTCTAAGGGAAACCCTGATGGTACAAAGCGGGGGCAGTGTAAGGGGATGAATGGGAGGCTGTTGGACCGGAGAAGAAATGATTTTCCTTGGGGTGGAAAATTTGACTCCAAACTAACATGAAAAAAACCATGTTGTTTAAAACCCTTTTCAAAAAAGGCGCCAGGAAGCTTACAGCACTTAGCCGTAAACTCGCAACCCGCTTGACAGTAGGGGTTGCAAAATACTGAAAGAGGCACAAGTACGCTCAAAACCTTGAGTATGCTCCACTTTCTTGGGGTTTTCCCGTCCCCCCTTAATTTTGCGGGCTGCCTTTACAGAGTAGAGGGCGGCAAGGCGTCTATCTCTCGCCATGGACCCACCTGGATTTTGGAATTTTTCCCGTCATTTCAGCAGAAACCTTCCCAAAATTGGAGGGGGTGTGGGTGGCCTTATGTTATGTACAAGGGGCCCCCAATTTTGGCAAAATACCAACTTGGGGTCCACTTCGAGGGGGCAGCCCCGGAAAAACTTTTTTTTGCCACCCAAAACGGGCAGAAAAGCAGAAAATTCACTTGGGGTGTTCCCTTTTCCAGAAAATCACTCCTCTGAGATTAAACAACCCAGGATGACTCGAGTATGGAAAAATTCGTTCAAACATAATGATGTTAACGAGATAACGTCAGTTGATCAATGAAAAAGCTGGCCCACAGAAAGGCCCCCAAACTTCATCCTGTTCCCTACTTGTATGTTCATAACAATAAAAATGCTTTCAAATGACTGATGTAGGTAACAGCTCGCTTGTCAATAAAGTTAGGGAAACCTTAACCTGTAAAAAGCCCCTTTTCAATAAAAAACTAGGGATCCTTAACCCTTGTCAAACCCTGTGTAAAAAAAAAAAAAAAAAAAAAAAAAAAAAAAAAAAAAAAAAAAAAAATAAAAAAGGGAGGAGAGAGGGGAAAAGGAAGGGGAGGGGAGAAGAGAGGGGGGAGAGGAGAGAAAAGGGGAGAGAGAGGGGAAAGGGGAGGGAAGGGGAGAGAGAAGTTTTTCTTTTTAAAAAAAGCAGGGGCTCCCGGTTTTAAAAGTGGCTGTATATCCCCCCAGTTCCCATCTTTTTTTTTTTTTTTTAAAAAGAAATGTGATCTTACCTTCAACTTCATTTCGGAAAAACCCCCCCCCCTACCTGAGGGATACACCAGCCCTTCAAACCCCCCCCCCCCAAAGGGTGCCAACCCAAAACCCGTGGGCCCAAAACCCCGGTACCTTTTCTTGTTGCTTTGAGAAACCCTGATTGTCTTCCCGGACAAAAATGCCCCAATAGAGTCTTGTAATGAATGGGGGAAACAGTCCCAAAGGGGTTTTCCCCTTTTAGAGTTCGGTGGCTGTGGGAAACCCCGCCCTTCCTAGAGAGAGGAGTGATAACCCCTGAAGTCAAGGTATTTAATTAGAGAGTTTGTGAAAAACATTTAGGGGACTTATCCCCGGGAAAATTTGGGGCTTATCAAGAACATTGGGTGCTTATCAAGAAAATTTAAAACTCCTCCCTTTCCCTTTTTACTTCTCCCGGCCCCCCTCCCTCTCGTATATATGCTTTGGCCCCCCCTTCCCTTTCCCCTCTTCTGTTGGGGACTTGTTAAGCTCCATGTAGGCCCCAGATATCGTCTAAGTTTCATTCTCCTTTGCGCCGTTTATTGGTATTTTTTCTAGTCCGGGTTGTGCCCTTTTAAATTTTTTTCAGTTGAAATTGAGGAAATTATGCAGCATATGGGGGAAACTTTTTTCAGGGGGAAAAAGGGTTTTTCCCCCACAGTGGCTTCATCCCGCCCAAAACAAAGAGGGGAAAGGCCCAAAGGGGAAAGGGGGGAGGGTGAGGGGAAACGTCCCTCAGCCTGGAGTCGTTTTGGGTTTAGTCCATCAAACTTTTAGAATGGACAGCATAGGTTTTTCAAAAACCCTTCATCACAAACGGGCAAGGGGCACTGGCCTTTTATGGGGGGCCCTTGTTACAAAGAATTCTTTAAAACACTTGTTCAACCTTTGGGGAAGGAAACCCCAAAATTCCCACTTGTGGTGGTAAACCCCTATGACCCCGCCTCCGCCCGCTTCCGTCACCTCACTACGTATATAAACCACGGCTACGGCCCCCCTATGCTGGACATTTTTTACAAGGGTTGTGGACTGAAACACATCGACTCCAGGGGTGAGGGGCGATTACCCATTCTCCTCCTCTCCTTACGCCTTCCTCTTTGTATTGGACTGATGAAGCCACTGTGTGGCGAAACGTTTCCTGAATAAAGATTCCCATATGCTGCATAAGTGTCTCAATCTTCAACTTGTCGGTTTTTCAAACCATTCATCACATTCTTTTCAGTAATTGTAAACGCTCAACAACAGTAGTTAGCTACTCTTGTTGAAGCCTTCTGCTGGCTGACCAGTCTAGCCCTTTAAAAATATAAATTATATTAAGAGAGACCTAAAAGACACCAACTAAATGAAGTCACAGATAGTTAAGATTCGTCAGAAAACAGGACAATTATTTCCTGATACGGGTCTTAGTCATATGATGACTCGCAGCTGGAGCTTTTGGTCATCTGACCGAGGCCTTCCACTGGCTCTGATGACATTTTAGTTACTTGGTCTCACTGTTAGTTTAAAGGCGATACCTTGTTAACGGCTTAATTGGGTTAGTTTAGCTGAGTAAGCTTTCCAAGTGTAGCACGCTCAGAGTATGTTACATTTTACTCGGCATATATCATACACCCATATAGGCTGCCTCCCGACCAGTGAACCAGGTGCTAAGGGTATAAATGAGTAGGGAACCCCCAGGTTATGCTAACACCTTGGTTCAACTAGCCAATGAAAAGAAAACCCACCAAAGTTGTGAAGCGATGTGGTATACTCGTGAGTCAACATTGGCAGACGTATATCGAAGTCTGGTCGCAGTGGTTCTCAACGTGTATTTTGCTTGCATTTGCCTTATTGTACATATTCTCTGCATATATGGTACATACACTGCTTGCTGTTTGGTGGAGGAAATGTAAGTAATTACTCCCTGCTGTTCGTTCCTACCTTGGTTATCGTACTACAGCCAGGTATGCAGGCCACTAGACTACACCTATGTTCGTAATACCAAGCAATATGCAATGAAGAGACAAATGGAGCTACGATGCAGAGCAAACATTTTCTTGGACATTTATTGGGTTATAATATATAAGATAGCTTCTTTTGCCTCGGCAGATAGTCTAGGCTGGAGAGCCTTTGGAATAGGATAGTCCGGAGTCGGTAGTGAAGGATTAAGAGAAGGATAAGGGAAGACTTTCAGTGGATATTCCCAGCGTGGAAGTCATTTCTCAGAATCACTCAAGTGCTTGTGGTAAATTTTACCTCTCGCTTCTACAACTTCCAGAGTTTTGCTTATAGATTATGTGGAATATTTTGTCTTAATAGTATTCTTAATACTTAAATAAATTATACATAGTACCAATGCCTGATTCATGCCTCTAATCTGAATACGAAATAAACCCCCTAAAATCTTTAATTAACACATACACCCAACATATGTATTTTAAAAAAGTCTACATAAAAATACTAAGTGTGATGAAAACTAGAGTTCAAAGATCACACTGATACCATCGATAACAATATCAGAGACCCATTAAATATCAGGCTTGACATGCCTTTATTGCTTTAAGTCGCCCATGTAGTGAGTGACTTAATATTACATACAGTGGTTTTTTTTTGCCTATAATCTTTGAGATGGTAATTGTTCTGTAATAAATTGGGTTGATAATGATGGGTCGTTCATTCTGTGGGATTACCGTCTCTTAAATTAATTTAGAGAGACGGTAATTCCACGGAATGAAAAACCTACTGAATGTAATGTGACTGACACATTAATTAAACGTAGCGATAATACATAATTATAAATATACAATAATAATATATACCCTGAAATATTAATGAATATTCTGTATTAACACATACACTAAAAAATATTACTTGAGTGCATTGTAAATCTGTTATTAAAACAATCACTATTACTACCTCGAGAACCCAAAAAAGTCATACAAAGTGACTTATTTCCGACAAAATGATGAATTAGACACACGTGCAACATCTGGGTATCTTTGTTATATAGACATGTCGTCAGCCAGTGGCTTTCTCAGTCACTGGTTGGCCAGACATCTACAAAATATTCCCAGATGTTGCACATATGTCTAATTCGCCACATGTTTTGTTATCTCACAGTGTGGCGACCCCAAAAAAAAAAAGGCAATGTGTTTCTGAACTGGGACAAATATTGTATTTTCTTTGCAACACGAAGATCCTTGAAAGATCTGCACCAGAGTGGAGACAGTACAGACCTGTTTAGCTCGGGTGAGTTGACTGGCAAAGTCTGTGTACTGTTGTAAGCTAAGCTCCCTCCTGCCCACAGCCAGCGTCCGCAGACCTAGCTGGGGGAAGACGCAAAAAGAGAGAGAGATTAGACACATGTGCAACTCTTGGGTATCTTTATTGAGGAAACGTTTCGCCACACATTGGCTTCATCAGTCCATACGTAGGAGAAACTTGAAGAACAGGAGAAGAATGAGGTAATCAGTCCCTCAACCTTGAGTCGATGTGTTCAATCCATCAATCTTGAATAGAATTCTATTCTGGTATTCTATTCAAGATTGATGGACTGAACACATCGACTCAAGGTTGAGGGACTGATTACCTCATTCTCCTCCTGTTCTTCAAGTTTCTCCTACGTATGGACTGATGAAGCCACTGTGTGGCGAAACGTTTCCTCAATAAAGATACCCAAGAGTTGCACATGTGTCTAATTTATCAACATGTCGGTTCTCTGAACCATTCATCTACAAAAGAGAGAGAGAGAGAGATAAATTTACGTGGGTCTCTGCAACTCTGCGAGGTGTGGTGGAGGCTCGATCCTCCTTCCGTTAATCACGAGTTAGATGCGTGGTTTTTAGATGAAAATTTAAATAGTTGAAGAATGAAATATCGGATAGAGTGAGTTATAATGATGCTCTGAGTATTATGGAGAGAGTTTTTTTAATGTGCTAAATATTTATTGAAATTAGAAAGGTGAGAAAGAGAGTTTTATATTGTAGCATAATAATTATTGCACTAAGTCATAAAAGTTAATTTTGATAAAATGGCGGTGACACCAAAATGAATTATTCTAAACAAATTTTAATACACGATTGTTGTCAATTGTGCAGTTCATTTTTCTGTCTCTCTTCTCTTTCCCTTCACTTTATTCTTTCTTCTTATAACCCTCCTTCGTTTATCCTTCTCCCTGCCTTCTCTACACTCTTTCTATCACCCTTTCACCTCTTCCTCCCCCTTTCACTTACTCTTCCCTTACTCCGTGTCTATCAGTGCCTCTCTCCCTAAGTTTTCTCCACCCATCCCAACATCCCTTCCCTTGCCTAGCCTCCCTGCATCCCTCCGCCCCTACCTCTATTCCTCCCTGCATCCCTCCGTCCCTGCCTCTATTCCTCCCTGCATCCCTCCGTCCCTGCCTCTATTTCTTCCTGCATCCCTCCGTCCCTGCCTCTATTCCTTCCTGCATCCTCCGCCCCGGCCCCTTTTTCCTCCCTGCATCCCTCCGTCCCTGCCTCTATTCCTTCCTGCATCCCTCCGTCCCTGCCTCTATTCTTCCCTGTCTCCCTCCGTCCCTGCCTCTATTCTTCCCTGTCTCCCTCCGTCCCTGCCTCTATTCCTCCCTGCATCCCTCCGTCCCTGCCTCTATTCCTCCCTGCATCCCTCCGTCCCTGCCTCTATTCCTCCCTGCATCCCTCCGTCCCTGCCTCTATTCTTCCCTGTCTCCTCCGTCCCTGCCTCTATTCCTCCCCGCCCTCCCTCCGTTCCCTGCCTCTATTCCCCTGCATCCCCCGCCCCTGCCTTATTCCTCCCTGCATCCCTCCGTCCCTGCCTCTATTCCCCCCTGCATCCCTCCGTCCCTGCCTTTTATTCCTCTCTGCATCCCCCCGCCCCTGCCTCTATTCCTCCTGCATCCCTCCGTCCCTGCCTCTATTCCTCCCTGCATCCCTCCGTCCCTGCCTCTATTCCTCCCTGCATCCCTCCGTCCCTGCCTCTATTCCTCCCTGCATCCCTCCGTCCCTGCCTCTATTCCTCCCCATCCCTCCGCCCCTGCCTCTATTCCCCCCTGCATCCCTCCGTCCCTGCCTTATTCCTCCCTGCATCCCCCCGTCCCTGCCTCTATTTCTTCCTGCATTCCCCCCGTTCCCTGCCTCTATTCCTTCCCGCATCCCCCCGCCCCTGCCTCTATTCCTCCCTGCATCCCTCCGTCCCTGCCTCTATTCCTTCCTGCATCCCTCCGTCCCTGCCTCTATTCTTCCCTGTCTCCCTCCGTCCCTGCCTCTATTCTTCCCTGTTCCCCCCGTCCCCGCCTCTATTCCTCCCTGCATCCCCGTCCTGCCTCTTTTTCCTCCCTGCATCCCCCGTCCCTGCCTCTTTCCTCCCTGCATCCCCTCCGTCCCTGCCTCTATTCTTCCCTGTCTCCCTCCATCCCTGCCTCTGTTCCTCCCTGCATCCCTCCGTCCCTGCCTCTATATTCCTCCCTGCATCCCTCCGTCCCTGCCTCTATTCCTCCCTGCATCCCTCCGTCCCTGCCTCTATTCTTCCCTGTCTCCCTCCCTCCCTGCTAACCATGGCGTAGTCGTTGATATGGTTGAGTGTTGCCTGGTGAAGGCGCTGCTGTTTGGTGTCGTCACAGCATCTGGCCAACACACTGCTCTCAGCGCCCTTTGTCAGCAGCCAGATTTTACCAGATTCCTCCTGCACTACCACAGACATGCACTTCCGGTCTGCGGGACGCAGATACCCAGTCAGTATATTTCATATAAAGAACTAAACCTCATATATATATACAATAAATTCACATTTTCTATAAATTCGTATAACCAGAGTACTCTAGTAATAAGAAAAAAAAATATATTGAAAAAGTGCAAAAAAGTGAATTTTCCATTTGGGTAAAGTTAACAAAACTTGTGAATAACTTAGTCTTAAGAGAAAAGTTTAGTGAGATTTTTTTGAGATTTATTGACGAGCAGTTTGAAGCAGTGAGCTTCACCTTCCTGAGCAGCCACAAGCTTACTTGGTCTGAAGGTGAGCTTGACTGATTATTTATTAACTTTGGTTCATAATACAAGGTGTCCCGCCCTCAAAAGAAATTGTATACACATTTCATCAGCCCATAACTGTCACGTCTCGTCTTGTCTGGGTGAAAATTAGTCAAGGTCTCAGTAGTAGTAACCAGTTACCAGTAACCAGTGTACCAGTAGTTGACTCACTACCAACCGTCTCTGCCTGAGTCACTGTTGAATTCATATTGTGCTGACCTAGCAGTATTCAAAGACCCCCTCACATATGGGTACTGTGGGCGGCAGTTAGTGTTACGAGAGTGAGCAAGGAGACAGGGTTACGGCTGTAAGGGCGCTCCCCACATTATCTGTAATTATACGTACTACCAGCCTACGTGAGTATTACTTTACCCAATCCACGTGTTCGAACTCCCACATGATAAAGGTCACTGAAAAAGACAGACTGGGATCTGAACAACTGAAATTTGTAGTGGAGTATTTATGTTAACGTGAATGAAATACAATGTTGTGATGAACATTGGGGAGCAAGTTGGTGTACAGCTCTTGGGACGAGACTCTGTGTACTCAATAATTTAACGTCATGTAATTTTTAAGTAGAATTAATAAGATATTGGTATGGTAAAGAAGAGTATAAAATACTTTTGTATCCCAGTGAGTGTTGATGCTTCCTGCTGAGACCAAGATCATTCACTTTGTTGAAAGTCTTTCATCAGGCGCTATGTAATGTTGCACTACGTATATGGAGCGGGAAACTCTCAGGGGTAAACACGCAGTGTTATACTCTGTCACTCCTCTAAGAGACGGGATAAAGTGCTGACGGCATAGTCTATTTACGGCTGAGAATTTTCCACGTCATCTACCTATTGAACCAATGCATAGCTCCTGACGAAACACTGGCAACAGTGTGAAAGGCTTTTAACTACTCTTTACATACTGCTAATGACTTGTTTTTCCATTATATATATATACATATATATATATATATATATATATATATATATATATATATATATATATATATATATATATATATTATAATATAATATATATATATATATATATATATAATATATATATATATATACAGACTCTTAAATACACTGAAAACTGTCTCCTAATGTATATACAAAAACATATATATCACTCACTATACACACGTATATATGGTGTATATTCTTGTGTATAAAGCACTAAAAGCTTGCTTTAATTCCTGGTTTTGCTTTAATAACCATCGTGGAGACGATATTGTTTAAATCTAACGAAGAAAGAAACTATGTTAGGTTATTCAGAGCAAACACTGGTGGAGGCTCGATCCTCCGTCTGATAATAATCAGTTATGCTGGGACACTGGCAGTCCCGGGAAGTACACACAAACTGGGGTGTCAGTGAAGCCGAGCTCCTACTGAAGCACTGGCGGCCAGGGAACCTTGATTCGAACAACTGTAATATTCAAGGAGAGTACACACAAGGTTGCTATTATTATTATTATTATTATTATTATTATTATTATTATTATTATTATTATTATTATTATTATTATTATTATTAATATGTTGTTGTTGTTGTTGTTTTAGTCACCGGAAGCTCTAAGCCCACAGGGGTTCATGTGGTGCATGAGGTATGATCCAAGGAGAGGAAGGAGGGATCCAGTTCCTTGCATCAAGAGCCCCTCAACGGCTTCAAGACACTTCCTCCTCAGAGCAGGTCAGATGATCTCAGTGCAGGTCAGGTGATCTCCTCAGAGCAGGTCAGGTGATCTCCTCAGAGCAGGTCAGGTGATCTCCTCAGAGCAGGTCAGGTGATCTCAGGGTAGGTCAAGTGATCTCAAGGCAGGTCAGGTGGTCTCTGGGTAGGTCAGGTGATCCCAGGGTAGGTCAGGTGATGTCAGGTCAGATCAGGTGATCTTAAGGTAGGTCAGGTGATCTCAGGACAGATCAGGTGATCTCATCAGAGCAGGTCAGGTGATCTCCTCAGAGCAGGTCAGGTGATCTCAGGGCAGGTCAAGTGATCTCAAGGCAGGTCAGGTGGTCTCTGGGTAGGTCAGGTGATCCCAGGGTAGGTCAGGTGATGTCAGGTCAGATCAGGTGATCTTAAGGTAGGTCAGGTGATCTCAGGACAGATCAGGTGATCTCCTCAGAAGAGGTCAGGTGATCTCCTCAGAGCAGGTCAGGTCATCTCAGGGCAGGTCAAGTGATCTCAAGGCAGGTCAGGTGGTCTCTGGGTAGGTCAGGTGATCCCAGGGCAGGTCAGATGATCTCCTCAGGGCAGGTCAGGTGGTCTCAGGGTAGGTCAGGTGATCCCAGGGTAGGTCAGGTGATGTCAGGTCAGATCAGGTGATCTTAAGGTAGGTCAGGTGATCTCAGGACAGATCAGGTGATCTCAGGACAGATCAGGTGATCTCAGGACAGATCAGGTGATCTCCTCAGGGCAGGTCAGGTGATCTCAGGGCAGGTCAGGTGATCTATCTACTCAATGTTCTAACCAAAAAACACTTGGCTTTACAGAGGGTGTCTCAATGCAGGTGTAGGGTTCTTGGTCGAAGGTACTGGAGCTACTTTCTCCTTCCTCGGACTGGAATGATTCAAACGCTAATCTTTCAGAAAATACTGAAAAAACTATACTATGTCTGATGTTGAGTTAAACTTAACTGTAACGTAAAGTAACGTAGACACAACTGCAGTGTAAAGTGACTGATAAATAACAACTTTTTGCCCCCCCCCCCACAGCGGACTTTATCAAGTCACAAACTCTTTGTGAGTTGATAAAGTCCACAGTGTAGGCGAAACACTCGTCGATAAAGGATCACATTATACTGCATTACTGTGTATTTTTTCCAGGGAGGCGATGTTGTGAACATAATCTTCCTTTTAAATTATGCTGAAGTTGAGTGTGAGGGCGTGACGAGTGAGTCTGCTGGAAGGTGAGTCTTGTACTCACCTGAGTCGAACTTGAGGACCTGTGTGACGAGTGAGTCTGCTGGAATGTGAGTGTTATACTCACCTGAGTCGAACTTGAGGACCTGTGTGACGAGTGAGTCTGCTGGAATGGAGTGTTATACTCACTGAGTCGAACTTGAGGACCTGTGTGACGAGTGAGTCTGCTGGAATGTGAGTGTTATACTCACCTGAGTCGACCTTGAGGACCTGTGTGACGAGTGAGTCTGCTGGAATGTGAGTGTTATACTCACCTGAGTCGAACTTGAGGACCTGTGTGACGAATGAGTCTGCTGGAAGGTGAGTGTTGTACTCACCTGAGTCGAACTCAAGAACTTGAAGACGTGTAAAGGTCTTGGTGTGGCCCTTGACGCTGAGACGCAGTTCCCCCTTGATGTAACCCTCGAAGACCACACCGTACCTGAGGACCACAGTAGGTGACTCTCACCTCCACTACACTGATATATTGCAGTCTTACGATACGATAAATTTGACACATGTGCAACACTTGGGTATCTTTATTGAGGAAATCTTTCGCCACACAGTGACGTGAAGAATAGACGTGAAGACGGCGGCAATTCGCCTCAAGAGAATCGCGACACCTTCCCAGACTACAACCAGTTACTGATTCGCTAAGCCATAAGGCCACATTAGCTTCCTCAGGAAGCAAAGGTAGGCGCCCGCACTATAAGTAAAGTCCTTAAAGTAGAGTCAAAAGGTTCCATGTAAAATATATAAAAATGACGAGAGGGACTTGAAATACTGAGACAAATCAGAAAAGCCACAATGTTTACGTTCAGTGCTTAAAGAAGGTGCCAATTCTCGTTGATGCTATATATCAGCATGATGCCAATATTATTGCTAATATCAGTAATTTTACTGCAAAATTAGTCCACGATGTAATCTTGCCAGTATAGTCTATAGTTTACTCTATTAGGAACCAACTACATCACTCATACCTCGCACAAGCCTCCACCAGGGCCTTCTCGTCGGGGCTGGAGGCCTGGTATTCTAGCCACAGGTTGGAGAGCTCTATGTCCTCCTCCATAGTCTGGGGCTCCGCTGCCTTGATCTTGGGGCTCGCCTCCACAGTGTGACACAGAGCCAGCGTCTGCAAGAAGGTGACGAGGCTCGCCTGCGGAAGTCACGAAGTATGTTGGAAAACTTGACGATTAAGCATTTTTCCTATATATGGATGTCGTGGTGAATAGGTAAAACTTGTGATTTCGGCTTAAATAGCAACGCTCTTCTTGCCGAATAAAGCAAGCGAAAATTTGTGATTTTAATAATTTCGCAAAAATCTTTCTGAACCTAACAAAAAAAAATATATTTCATTGTGTTTGTTTATTATTAAATTATTGTAAACTTATATAAAATATATTTAGTTGGATTAGGCTAAATTAAATTGCGCTTGTTATAATAAGGTCAGGTAAGTTTCTTAAGGTTCTTTTGGTACAAAATTATTAATTTTTACATTAATATAAATGAAAAAATATATCTTCAAACGTATAAGAGAAAATTTTAGAAAGGACTTAATTTGAAATGAGTTCTTGTTAAATGACCAATTTTACCTGTTCGGAACGACATACATACATACACATGCACACACACACACACACACACACACACGCACACACACACAAACACACACACACACCCCACACACACACACACACACACACACCACTCACAACACACACAAACACCATATATATATATAATATATATATATATATATATATATTTTAAAATAAAATATATATATATATATATATATATATTTTTATATATTGTAGATGAATGGTTCAGAGAACCGACATGTTGATAAATTAGACACATGTGCAACTCTTGGGTATCTTCATTGAGGAAACGTTTCGCCACACAGTGGCTTCATTTAGTCCATACGAAGGAGAATCTTGAAGAACAGGAGGAGAATGAGGTAATCAGTCCCTCAACCTTGAGTCAATGTGGTCAGTCCATCAATCTTGAAACTGTTTCATAAAAAGCAGTTCTGACAATAACATTTCCTTTGGTTTATATAAATTAGATCCATTTATAATTAATAGAATTTGGGAAGAATGTAATAATACACTGGACAAATAAAATTTTTTAAAATTCTTAATTCTTCGGTAGAATAGTTTGTTGGTGGGTTGTATGAAGGACCTGTCTAGTTGGGCCAGCGGGCCTGCTGCAGTGTTCTCTTTCTTATGAGTCGCGCGTCAGGTGTTGCTTTGTTGTGGGATGTGATAGTGAGGTGTGGGCTAGACCCTTTATATGCCTTCCTTTGATGCATTATTTTCATTGTTCCTTGATAATGTGAGTAGTCACGAAAGCGCTTGGAATTTCTCTATTCTTTCAAAGTGGTTGTTTTTGCATATATATATATATATATAATATATATATATATATTATATATATATATATATATTATATATATATATATATATATATATATATACATACATATATATATATATATATAATATATATATATATAATATATATATATATATATATATATATATATATATATATATATATATAAAATATAATATAAATATATATAACATGAGTGTGGAGACTTACAGGGCAGGTATGGAGAGGGAAGGTCCTGGAGTTATCGTCTTCATCAAAGGTGTGGATACAACCCTCCACGTCCACGTACTTCACCCCGTCCACTGAACACTGCCTGAAGTTCATGCAGTTCTCCGTCAGTGTTCCAGTCTTGTCCGTGAACAAGTACTGCACCTGCAAAAGTGAACGTTTGAAGTTAACAGCGTTCGTACATACCTGTTGCCGTGTGTCCGTTCTTAAGTGAACGTTCAACGAATATAACGTAAACACAAAAATTCGTAATATTACCTTCACCTAAGAAAAACTCATCATATTTCAACACTATTATTTCGTGCTCAAGAAACCCAGAATAATTTTGAAACCGATTATTATAGATACGATTCACAAGAACTTTTGTACCACGACGCTACATGGAACAACGTGTGTTGCCTGAACGAAATTCTGTATTTACCAGTTCATGAACACTACTGGCTACACCATTCCCATATATTTCACTTATTTAAAAAAAATACGATTTTTTTTATTTAAAAATCTATATTATTATTGGACATTTCGATTTAACGCATTCTGACATAATTATTTTTTAACTAAATATTCAGATTCTGAAAATTTTATCGAAACTGTTCATAATTACGATTTTCGGACCGTGACCGTATCCAGTATCCGGTTTTTAGGACAAAGTCTGGATGCTACAGATGGCTTTTGGTTAAAGGAATGAGCTGTTCTCCTATTCCTGGGATTAGCCCGATTTTTTCTTTCTCCACTTTTTTCATTCCCTACTCTTGGCTTGGTCTCTGCTCTGGTCTTGTACTCAGCGTTCACCGGAATATTTTTTAAACAATACAAGTATTATTACTGTACTACTACTACTAATATTACTACTGTTACTACTACTAATGCTACTACTGTAACTACTCCTACTATTATTAGTATAACTACTATTACTATTACTACTACTACTACTGCTATTACTACTACTACTACTATTACTACTACTACTACTACTACTATTACTACTGCAAATACTTCTACCACTACTATTACTACTACTACTATTACTACTACTACTACTACTATTACTACTACTACTACTACTATTACTACTACTGTTACTACTACTACTACTACTACTACTACTACTACTACTATACTACTACAACTACTTACCATACTACTATTACTACTACTACTACTATTACTACTACTATACTACTAATACTACTACTACTACTACTATTACTACTACTACTAAATTACTATACTACTACTATTACTACTACTCTACTTTTACTACTACTATTACTTTACTACTACTCCCTATTACTACTACTACTACTACTACTACTATTACTACTACTACTACTATTACTTCTACTACTACTTATTATCTACTACTATATACTACTACTACACTACTCACTACTATTACTACTACTACTACTAAACTATTACTAAAAACCATATTACTACTACTACTACTACTATACTACTAACTACTACTACTACTACTACTATTACTATTTACTACTACTATTTACTACTACTCTACTACTACTATTTACACTACTATATTACAAACTACTACTACAAACTACTCTACTACTATTTACTACTACCTACTACTACTTTTACTACTACTACTCTATTACTACTACTACTACACTATTACTACTCAAAACTATACATTACTACCTACTACTACTACTATTAACTAACTACTACTACTACTATTACTACAATACTCTACTACTACAAACTACTACTTTACTTACTACTACTACTACTAACTACTACTATTACAACTACTCTACTACAAACTATTACTACTACTACTACACTACCTATACTACTACTATACTATTACTACTATTTACTCACAAATACTACTACTACTAATACTACTCTACTACTACTATTACTACTAATACTACTACTACTATTACTCCCTACTACTACTACTACTACTACTACTACTGACTACTACTACTACTACTACTACTATTACTACTACTACTACTACTATACTACTACTATACTACTACTACTAACTATTACTACTTACTACTAACTTACTACTTACTACTATACTACACACTACTATATTACTACTACTACTACTACTATACTACTATTACATACTACTACTACTATCTACTACTACTACTTATTTTACTACAAACCTACTACACTACATTACTACTACTACTACTACTATTACTTACTACTACCCTACTATTACTACTACTACTATACTAACTACTATACTACAAAACTACTACTACTATTACTACTACTACTACTACTCTATTACTACTACTACTACTACTACTTACTATTACTACTACTATATACTACTACTACTACTTACTACTACTACTACTACTTTACTACTACTACTACTATACTATACTACTACTATAATATTACTACTACTTACTATTACTACTACTAAAAACTACTATTTACTATTACTACTACTACTACTACTACTATTTACTACTACTTACTACTACTACTACTATTACAACTACTACTACTACTACTACTACTATTACTACTACTATACTACTAACTACTAACTACTTACTACTACTACTATTACTACTACTACTACTACTATTACTACTACTACTACTACAACATAAAATAATTCATTAAAATTTTTCTTCTTATGGGGGTAAAATTTATTGAACTTATTTATCACATTTACAACGGAAATTATAAAGACCTTTGTG